CTCCACTCCTACTGCTAAGTTCCGACTGCAGTAGCCCCCTGACCCTCCCCTGTAGGGCGGACCAATCTCTGCCTGACATTCCCACGCTTACCTAGTAGTCCGTCGGTCCTCCTTTGGAGGACCTCCGCTCCAACGTCCTGTCAGAGCTTGTAGAACTCGAGTTGGACTACAATCCAAAATTAGGGGCATGTACTCAGGTAAGGGGCGTAGCGCACGAGCTGAAGCCAAGCCCCTCAAACTCAGCTTTACCCCTGAGCATGGTCTTAACAGGAACACAGGAAGTGTTATCATAAGTCCAACTTTTTTCATAAATTGCAAATATGAAAATGCAAGATACAGAGTGGCCTTTGAAGTGGATCTGGCTGCAGTTCAATTCACGTCTGTCACAAATTCCTTCACATTTTCCCTAACTTTCCTTCAGTCACTTGCAATTACCAATCTAGTCACATGACTTTGTTACCTTTCACATCTTCACATATCACACCTTCATTCTCTCACAAGTGTCAGAACTGTGCCTAATGGGTAGAAAGGAGTTTATAAAGGGGCTTAGCTTCAGCTTGTGCACTGCACTTCTTATGTGAGTATGGTGCCCTTAACTTCAAAGGATAGATAGGGGCTTGCCAAAGGTCAACTTCAACATGCTCCAACAGGGGTATGGTTGTAAGGGACTACATCTAACACACTCCAACAGAGGTAAGGCTATGAGGGACTAAGTCTAATGTAGAAAGTAATACAAGGACTGTTAGAAGACAGAGGTGGACATCAGTGAGACTAGTCTTGAGGTTGGAGTAGACAATGAGGAAGACTCAAGTCAAGTAAGAGGTAATTAGGATAGGTTTGAGTCTATATATATTGTAGAAACACTACTAGAATACATGAGGTTTATATACTATAGGAATCTGGCCTATGCGGCACAGCACAGTGGAGTACACAGTAATAATAAAAGGGACAATGAACCATAGTATATAACAAGCTTAATTGGAATGGAGAGTCAGATCATACAAGGTACTGGGACTAGATGGAAAGCAGAATGTACAAAGGGAACTTAGAATAGACTGACATGTACCTTGTACCTTGATTGAGTTATGGGCAGAGGAATGTACCTAACATTGGAGATACATATTTAGTAGCAGAGGAGCATAGATAAGGTGGAGGACTATGAATGAGGGTGGAAGACACTAACTGAGGGTGGAGGAGACTTGTATGGATTATGGATATGTGTCATATCCATGAATTATACAAGTCTCCTCCACCCTCAGTTATTGTTCTCCGCCCTCATCTATACTTCTCCACCTCTCAAAATGTATCTCCAACATCAAGTACATTCCTCCACCCCTGACTTAATCAAGGTATAAGGTACAAGTTAACCCATTCCAAGCCCCCTTTGTACATTCTGCTTTCCATCTAGTCCTGGTACCTTGTATGATCTGACTCTCCATTCCAATTAAGCTTGTTATATACTATGGTGCATTGTACCTTTTATTATTACTTTGTACTCTGCTGTGCTATGCTGCATAGCCCAGATTCCTATGGTATATAAACCTCATGTATTCTGGTAGTGTTTCTACAATATGAATATAGACTTGAACCTATCCAACTTGACTTGAGTCTTACTCATTGTCTACTCCAACCTTGAGACTAGTCTCACCAACCTCTACCTCTGTCTTCCAACAGTCCTTGTATTACCTTCTATGTTGAACTTAGTCCCTTGTAGCCTTACCTCTGTTAGAGTGTGTTGGACATAGTTCCCTGTGACCATACCCCTGTTGGAGCACATCAGAGTTGACCTTTGGCAAGCCCCTATCCATCCTCTGAAGTTAAGGGCACGGTACTTGCATAAGGAACACAGCACACAAGCTGAAGCTAAGCCCCTCCATGACCTCCTTCCATACCCATTAGGCACAGTTCTGACAATATGATAACAAGTGTCAACCAGTCACAAAGGCACCTAAACCATATGTCCATGTCAACCTGTACATCACCAATAACATCTCTTCCTTCACATTGTCAATTCCATCTCCAATTAACATACTAATCATTCATTTTTAAATCTCACTCCCGTGTCTGACTAAGCTCTGGAGATCGCTGAGGAGCTAGGTCTCTGGTCTACTGTCTTAGGATCCCTGGTCTATGCACCCCCCTAAAAAAAAACAACTGGTGCCACCCTTAACACCATTTCTGATCTCCACTATCTTTTTATCTTCTTATCTTCTTTCATCCATCTTCCTCTAGGTTTTCATTAACTTCTTCATCTGCTTCTTTAACTTCTTAATTATCTTCCTCTGTCTCTCCCTCTTTCTCTTTACTATTCTCTTTTTCTCTGCTTTTGTGTTCATGCTCCTTCTGATCTCTTGCTAGTTGTGTTCCCGACCATGGGGTGAATGCTCATAGACACCTCATGCTGAAGTCTCCTTGGATAATTGCTCTGCTCAGCATTTCCGATGAGTAAGAGTTCAATGCTCACACTTGTATTCTCCTTGGGACTGACCACTTTGATATCAACTTTTGCTCTACTTTGAAGGTATAATCTACATTGTTGCGGTAAACTTGTACTAATTGACTAATTTTGAATATAACCTTACCAGGGGCTTGTTGTAGCAATTTCTTGTTGAATGTCACTTTTCACTTGATTGCTTGCCTTACAATTTCATCATACCCATCTAATTGTTGTTGTTCCACATATGCTACTTGTGCTAGAATGTCCACAGTGTGAAGATTTGATGTACATTCTTCTATACTTGTTGTTGGTGTGTTGATGATGAGTCCTAGAAGCAATTCCTTTAGAGAAAATTTCAGCACTGGTAACAATCAATAATTAAGGGCATGGACTGCATTGTTGATGTGGTCTGGCTACGACTTCAGTAATTTGTTCCAGGCTATCTCTTGTTGTTGATCTTCTCTAAGTTCTGGTGCGCATAGTGTTTTCAAGACATAGAGTAGTAGTTTATTTGTCCCTTCTACTAGGTCGTTGACCCATGGGGAATACACTGCAACTGTGTGCAGTTTGCATTTTCTTGATTTGCAAAATGTCTGCACTGCATCATTGTTGAAATGTTTACCCCCATCTGCCATGAATGTCTCTGATGGTGTGAATGCATTGAAGATGCCATTGAGGCTGGCTATTGTTGTTTTTGTGCTGCCTGCCACTTTGTACTTGAATACCCATGTGTGCTAAGAGAATGTGTCCAGGTATACTCCAAGCATGCTATATCCACCTTTTCCTTTTAGAAGAGTAAGATAATTGCCTACTAATAACTTAAATGGATGCCTCCTGGTGATTGATTTGAATAGTGAGTGTATAACTGCTTGACCCCTATTTTCATGGACATGACACTTGCTTGTAGGTAGCACACAGAAGCCAGATTTTGTGACTATTCAGGCAGACACATCAATTGGGAATGTCCAGAATGCAGGTGGAAAATGTATCATGTGTGCTACCACAAGTCCAGTACCTGATCATTTACCAGCTATATTGAGGAACAGTCAACAGTGTCACTATAGAAGGCAGCAGAATGGCTGAGCAGGAGAATAATACATAGCAGAAGAAGCTATGTTGGCCACACAAATAACAACCCAAGACAGGAATTTCACAACTGGGCATCTGGATATCTGTCCTGCACAACTAAATGACCCTTGAATTGAATGAGTGGCTCAAGACAGTAGTGGTACACATTTATTTCTCCCATATGTGGTGTGAGATGCTGGGTAGATCACATGTGAGATACATAGACTTGTATACAGCAATAGCGAATGTCATTGGGGATGAAGAACTGGAGCACTTCAGGAGGACCCATTTCTTGCATCATGATGGCACATATGCTATGACCCCTATTGGATTCATAATGCATCACTCCTATTATTTCTTTGTGGTCATTTTTGACTATCAGCGATGTATAGTGCATGTCTTGGGTCACCATATTTTGGAACATGCAATGGATGTTGATGGAGTGGATCCACACAACTGGAATGATTGGAGATGACTGGAAAATTGAAGGAAAATTGGAGCCCTGCATGGCTGGAGCACAGAGGATGTCACTGATGTTTCCATCATGCCCAAGGATTGGGTGCAATATGGAGTTGACTGTGATCCCATCACTTGCTCTGTGCTTAAGCAATGTCTGAAGTCAGGCAAAGTAACTTACTGGTCTTTGAAGTTCAATGTGGCCACAGACTGCACATTTACATGCTATGTGTAATTGCTGGGTGTGTCAAGATCTGTGTTAGCAACTACCTGATGCTCCTAAATGGCCCATGAGATGACTGACAAGAAGATGAGCTACCCAATGAGGATGTCATCAATGTGATCTAGAATGAACAGCACCAGGCTGAATATCTCAAGCTCCTGCAGAAGTTGACTATTGTAAGTGCCATCTGCTCAATGTGTCAATGTCCTATGCTCCACCAGGATGGTGAACATCCCTCACACAATGATGAGAATGTATATGGAACTACAGCAGATTAGGATGGTTTAGACACTGAATGAAGTGAGAGTGAGAATGCTCTAGACACAGCCTTAAATGCAGTTGGCAAAGTGAACCTTGCAAAGCTTTTTTAAAGCAAACAAACAGCTGGCTGGATGTTGGGATCACAATTCTATAGTCCCTCATGCCATTGGAATGCACCTTCAACTTAAGCCAGATATTCCATCTGATATTCATGGTACTGTTGACTAACAACACTCTATATCTGCCTCAGTGTCTTATAGGCAAGTGAAAAACTGACATCTTGGAAGCAACAAATAATTTCCATGTCCCATTGCACCACTCCCCTTAGCTACATATGTAGGTAGGAGATGGCTCTAGGATGATTGTACATTTAATAATTATAAGGGTGGACCTACAATCAAGATGATGCTGACTCCTAGGGATGTCAATCTGACAATGACATTCCAGGTTGGAGGAATACAGATCTCCATTGCTTGAGTGGACTGTGTTGATTATAGCTACTGCATTACCTGAAGTTCATTCCATATATTCTATTAATGTTACCCCATAGCCACTATGGACCATATCATGCCTATTGACACAACCAACTCCCATGATCCTTTAAATCAGGTTTCAGATTGTGCAACAGGTGCATACAGCCTGAAATGGCTAGGCTCCACTCAGGGAGAACAGCACACAAAGGTTACAGATGTCAAGATCCTTTTTGCTTCTGAATTCATCAGCTCTGTCCAGTATGATCCCCCACTACATGATGAATGTAGATTTAGACACAATGCCTTTGTGTATGGCTGCACCAGTCATTATTATGGTGGTGACCCTGTCTTGTATGTTGACCTTGAACAAGATGTGGTTGCACTCTTGAAAGATGAGATAGAGATCTCAGTGGACATAGGACTACAAAGATGTTCTGATGCAGGGGGTCTGTAGGTATCTATGTTGTTCCTCCATTTTAAACAAAACCCAGCATATTCAAGCACAATCACACATCTGTCAAGATTATAATACCATAGTCAGAAGAAGATGCCAATACATCTGGTGGGAGAATGGAATGGCTGTCCAAAAGGCTTCCCATGTCTACCATCCCTCACACCTATATTGGGTGCATACCTTCTACATCATCACTGCTCAATCTATATATCACATTCCTAAGGATGATCTGTTAAGGTCATGCTTAAGGGGAGGAGAACTCAAAGGGCTTGTCTTCAGCTCATGTGTTGCACCCCTTACCCAAGTACATGCCCTTAATTTCCAAGAGGTAGAAAAGAAGTCTGATGGAAGTCTGGGTAAGTCTGGAGGTCAGACACAGGGGGAGTTTGATGGAACTCTGGAGGGTCAGGAGTAACTAGAGTAGGACTACTATGGACAAGTGCAGAGTAGAAACAGTTCCAAAGTTGAGTTTACCACCCCTACCATGCTGCCTCCCCTCAAGATTGATTTTTCTGGCCTTCATATGACTTGCCAGGGTATGGTAATATAATAGGGCTACAGGGACATGTCTAAATCCCTTGTATCCAGGCTCAAATTTGAGGTATGCAGTGTGGGAAAGTGATGTTATGGAATGGAGATATGGCTATTCTAATTTATCATAGAATTAGATCACATACACATCATGTGACTAATGACACATGTCTTAGAATATCATATGGGATGTGAAAGTATCAAAATAATAAAAATAAAGCCAAACATCAACCTTTTTTGGCATCTTTTATCACTGAGTATACAAAATTAATTTAACCAAATTTTTATAGAATATCTCACATTCTATTTTTGACCACTAAAGTATTATAAATAAAACTTACTATGGACACTATACAAGCCTTCAGAAGTTCATTGGTAATCATCATTCTATGCTTTTTACCTCTACTATTAAGTATGCTATGGTCATATACCTGATCCAACCACTCCAACGATATTGATATCCACTCTGCTTGACCTTATACCCCTCCCACTTTCCTATCACCTCTGCTCTGTCTGCCCTCCGCTTGACCCAGTCAGCTCCCACATCCACTCCTACACTCCCGCTCAACTGCCACATCAGTTACCTTCCATATCATCTCCATTCCACTGTAACCTCTTTCCCCATTTAGGTATACACTTGCCCCATTGACACATAAAACTTACTTCCCAGATCACTGGTCCTTCCTTTAACCGCTTAACTACTGATTTGATGCGTACATATCAATATCTGCTCCAACTTATGTTTTCACCTGTGTTAATACTTACAAATTGTATACTCGGCACATAGCCTCATACCAAGGACAACTGGTCACTGCCTCCTACTTAGAAGTATATAAAAACATACCATGTATTTAGCTACTCCTTAGTCTTAATATTACTTGTCTTCCCACAGTCTCTACTAGTGGGAATATTCTGTAGGACTCTGCTCTCTCCGGACACAAGTTTACCTTCTTGTCACCTCTGATCCTCTGCTCCATCTTAGAGCAGTGCTCTAAAGTATTCATTCTCACTTCTCCGACCTAACCATCCAATCCTCTTACTCCCCTTCACCCCAACACATTTTCCCCACTTCACCCACTCCGCTTCTAGTCAGACCACCACTAGTAGCTATTACCTCCCGACCCGCAAAGCAGACCAAAGTGGTCTGCCCATCCTATCATTGGACATTGTCGGTCCCGCTCCAAATTCAGGGCATGTACTCAGCTAAGGGCGCAGTGCAAGAGCTGAAGCCAAGCCCCAACCCCTCCGCTTCTCCACCCGAGCACAGTTCCTAACAGCTATTTGCTTAAACAGTACTGACAAGCCTGCAAGTGCTGCTCAAGTGACAAAAAGACTGTATAATATCTAGAAACAGCTTATTATATCTCAGACACCATGTTGTGACTTAGGGGTAAATGATATCAAGGCTAGAATTAGGCAAAAACATTTCTTTCTTTTCTAGCATTACAGAAGAGGAGATCATAAGCTTTACTATTGTCATCCATCTGGCTTCAGATGATTAATTCTAGTTCTATCTGCCAATACCCTTTCTTATCTAGCACGATAGAAGTAAGAGTAAATATTGCTATGTATCACTAGTGCTGTACTATGAATAGCTGAACAAAAATTATACTATTAGCAGATAGAACTAGAATTAATCATTGAAGGCCAAATGGATGGCAATCATGTTTGTGAGGGAGTGCTGCATGTGGGTTTGATCAGTACTATGACTGGCATGATTCTAGGGGAGTGCTGCATGTCTGTCATTGATTGGACCTGCAGAATATTGATGTTGTGCAGCAGACTCTGGGGAGAATTTCAGGTGTTCTAAGTAGTATGTACTATGTAGCATGTCATGGACAGACAGGATGGTAGTATACAGTACTTAGAAAGTTTCATATGGATGACAGACTACAATTGTACAAAATAGATTGGAAGAATGAATTACAATGTTCTTCTCCTCTTCTTATGGTGAGTCTTTTGAGCTTCTTCAGCTTTTACATAGTTGAAGTCTAATGTATTGCTGTCATATACCTGATCTGACCTCTCCAATATTGATATCCACTCCACTTTCTGACCCCCTCCGCTCCATCCATCCTCCGCCCCATCCAACCACAAGTCCGCATTCCTCCCCTATGCTTCCGCTCAACCGCTCAACCAGTCCCCTTCCATAAACCTCTCCATTCAACTGGACCTCTTTCCCCTTTTAGATATATACTTCCCCCTTTAGTACATAGACCTTACTTCCGGACGACCAGTAATTCCTATTACCACTCAATCACTGATCCGACGCGTACATATTGATATCCGCTCCAACTTATGTCTTTGCCTATGTAAAATACTTACAAACTATATCCTTGATACATAGCTTTATTACATAGTTATCCTGATCACTGCCTCATACATAGAAGTATATAACATATCCTGTGCTTAGATATTTTCCTCAGTCTTAATATTACTTGTCTTCTCGCAGTTACATCTTGTGAGAATTCTCAGTAGGACCTTGCCTCCTCTGGACACAAGTCTCAACTTGTTGTCACCTCCGACCCTCCAACCCTCCACTCTGACTTAGAGCCGTGCTCTAAGTCTTTCCCTTATACTCCGCCCCTATCAACTATTCTCCCTTGTCCCTCCACATTATCCTCCACCTTTCCTGCCCCTACCCAACATTCCCCCTGCTCCTATCTATCCTCCACATCAGTCCCCGCCTTCTCCACTCTGCTTCTAGTCGGCCCGCCACTAGTAGCTCTTACTCCCCAACCCTCAAAGTGGACCAAAGCGGTCCACTCGTCCTACTGTCAGACAACGTTGGACCCGCTCCAAATTCGGGGCACGTACTTGGCTAAGGGCGCAGCACAAGAGCTGAAGCCAAGCCCTGACCCCTCTGCTTCCTGAGTTGGCACGGTACCTAACAATTGCAAATATTCCCACCAATGGTCCTCCTTCCGTAAAGCCAGGGTTTTCCCTCTAGTGCTTGTAGACTTATTTCAGAAAAGAACAAGACAGTATTGACCCACCCAGTAGAAATACATTTATCAGTAAGTGCTTGAGAAACCAGAGCTGGAAACCATTCACTGACATGATGGTACAAGGTGCCCAACATGAAGATTAAGATATCTCTAGGTTAATAACTATTAATGTAATCAACAAAGTGTTCTAGGAAAATGAGACAAGCACTAATGCCAATTTTGCCTCTATCATAGGAAGTGTCTCCCCACCAGACAAAAATCACATTAGGAAGCTAGCACAAGGCCCTACATTCAAGCCATCAGTATGCATGTAGACTTAAAGTTTATAACAATAGCATGTCCCAACCATGGGCCCGGATCAGACATCAACCATACATCAGTGTCAAAAGCCTTGTGGTACTTTTGATAGAAATTGGGAAAGCATAAGAGAATATGCTGGCCAATGCATAAAAGTACCAGTCAACAGCTTGAGACTGAGTTCTGGATTTTCTAGTCATATCTACCAAGGGGGTCATACTAAACTGAGGTTGGAGAGTCAGCTATGAGATTATATGGATGTGCAGAGAACAAATTGCCTTCTAGGCTGGGCATCCTTAAGCTTGCCAGAGGTGGATGAGGTGAGTAGCTTCTTGATGTTTGATAAATTCAACTTCAGACATGACCTCTACTGTAGGCCAGTGTTCATTGAAATGGGTATCACTGGCCACTAGCCACTCAGAAATAGTTATAGGACATTGTAATAGAAGAGTCAAGAGTCTGAAGCCTGGAAGTCCTCTGGCCCTTTGTCCTTCAGATGGAGGCATATGTCACAGCAACTGAAAGCCAGTTGACAAAATGATAATAGCATCTGCATTACCTTGAGCATCTGTTGGCATGTTTGAGGCTGAAATTAATGTTAGTTCGTGGGAGAGTAAGAAGGTCAACTTCAAACTTACCAGTAAACCATATATAACTCTTTATAGGGGTTCATGGAATAAAAATCCTCAAGGGTCTCACCATGTAAATGTTGCTTGTTGAGTGGATGGCTGCAATTCAATGCATTCTGCAGACATCACTCAAATGAGCAGCCCAACAAGTGAAAACAAGTATCTCCTACCATATCAGGTTCTTCAATGGTCTTGTTTTCAGCCATATCATTCTTATCTGCCTCATCCTCTCCTTCATCTTTATCCATCCCACCCTTACCTTGGCAGTTATCATCATCATCATTGTGTAAGTGAGATGATAAATAGAACACAAGTGGAACACCATTTTCATCCACCCAGTAGGCAGAACTGTAATAGGTAAGTCAGCCAGCCAGTGAATCTGCCATGTCTTGGGCACTCTTGATGTTACAATCATCATTCTTCAACCGAGATTCTAATTCCTAAATCATAGTAAGAGCCCTGAAGACAGGTGCTGCAGACATATATTATTAGGCCTGATAGGCAGATTGGTTAAAATTTATATTGTCAATCACCACTTCAGGTCAAAATTTGATAGATCTAGAAGCTGCCGAGGTAAGGAGGAGCTCTGGCTGGA